AAACCTTTAAACGGTAAAATGTTTGAAGAGCTTCGAAGAGGGGCGACTATAGCAGTGAAGGAATGAATGAATGAAAAGTCTATTCAGAAAATAAACTAACATTCTGACTCCAATGTCACAAAGATCAATTTAATTAGAGCAGTGATCAATTATCATTTGATAACATTAAGCGCATGCAAAATAACTTGCAGTTTCCATAGCCGCCTGACTTTTACGGAAGTCAGTAATTCAAATGCTTTTTTTCGCCAATAAATCATAATTAAAGTAGCGACGATTTAAACCGATTTGGACACGAAACAAATGTCTGACAACAAAGATGTCAAAGCGAAAGCAATGCGGACCACCTAATGGAAGCGTGGAGATGAAAAAAAAAAATAGGATGAAGTAGAAATAATCTAAGCTGCCAGCGGGATGTCCAAGGATTTTGACACACACAACAATCACACCTATGTTGCGGCAATATTTGTAAGCACTGTAACAGCCTGACGTTCGTGCACAAACGCGCTGGGCTGGCCGCATGCTCGATGGGTATAGAGAAGCAAAAGTGCTGGGGACTCCAGGCGCACAGCATGTGGTCACTTTTGTGGAGTTTATCAGCGCCGCTTGATGGCCAGGTCGATGCATTTGTTATGTGTTGTTGGCATTGGTGGTAGCAGACATTTGGTTGCTCTGTGGTCTATGTGCGTTGCATTTGCTGATGACTTTAATGCCGACAACGAAAGCTGCTTAGCCAGTGACACTTTGACAGTGATAGTCGAGGAAAGAAGGTACTGTCCCGATAGCTGTTGCAATTGCACTAATAACTGATAGTAGTAGAATTCCTTTGAAGAGACGCACAGTGGTTCAAAACTGGTATACAATGTTCATAGTTCAATGGAGCCTTAATTTTTCAACCAATTTGTTTACTATTTTTATACCCGAGCGCACTTGTGCACAAGGGTATTATAACTTTGTTCACATAACGGTTGTTTGTAACAGGCAAAACGAATCGAGATAGATATAGACAAATGTATACATAAATGATCAGAATGAAAAAAGAAATCGATTAAGCGGTGACTGTCTGTCCGTCCGTCCGTCCGTCTGTGCACTTCTTTTGGGCGTAGGACGGATGGTATTGAAAATGGGCGAAATCGGACTGTAACCACGCCCACTTCCCATGTAACGGTAATTTCCAGAAATACGAAAACTGTGATATTTTAGTAACTACTAACGATAATTCACTCAAAATTGATATTTGGAATCATTTTCAGACGAAAAATAAAAATATTGTAAATTTTTGGAAAATGGGCGTAGCTACGCCCACATATGTATATCTTGGTAACCGCTGCACCAATTTCTTCCAAACTTGGCACAGTTATTGGCCTTGGTACAGCGTACCAAATGGCCGAAAATTTTTAAAATCAGACAATAACCACGCCCACATCCCATATAACGGTAATTTAGAGAAATACAAAATCTTCGATAAATCAGTAAATATTAAAGCTAATATATTCAAAATTGATTCTTACAAAAATTCTTTACCAAGAAATACGTTTGTGATAACATTGTGAAAAACGGGCGTGGCACTGCCCACTTATGATCACATATATGTATCTCGGTAACCGTTCTACCAATTTTGTACCAAACTCGGTATGGTTATTGTGCTTGCCACATAAAAGCAAAACCTTGAAAATTATTGAAATCGGACTAAAATTACGGCCGCTTTTCATATAACGGTAAATTTCAGAAATGCTTCAAACTTCAATATTTTGAAATCTAAGGACGCTAATTTACTCAAAATTGATACACCCTGGCTTACCATGTAGCGATAGCTTACGGAAAGGTGAAAAAACATTTATTTAATACTTGCGCCGGGTATTTAATGTTCGGCTCCGCCCGAACTTAGACTTTCTTACTTGTTGAATTTGTATATGTTTATATTAAATTTTTTAGTGCAAAATGCGGAAAAAGTAGCAAGTTTGAAGAAAATCGATTCTCCTGCTCCAGTTAATAAATGTTACATAATAAAAATAGTTGAAAGCAATTGTAAGATTCCCTCCAGAACGAAAAAAATTCGATAGAAAAAATTGAAAAGTTATAAAAGAAAAAAATTCATCAAAAGTAATTTTTTTTGTGAGTTTTTAGAAAAATTGTTTAGTGCAAATTGCGAAAAAAAGTAGCAATTTTGTAGAAAATCGATTCTCCTGTTCTAGATAGTAAATCTTATAAAAAATGTTATAAAAAAAATTCCCTACAATAAAATTTTTTTTTTTGGAGTTTTTAAAAACATTTCTTAGTACCAATTTTGTAGAAAATCGATTCTTCTGATCTAGATAATAAATGTTAAATAATAAGAACTAGCTGAAAACAAGTTTAGGGTGTTCCTACAAAATAAAAAAAAAATTCCCAAAAAATTTTAAATTTAATAAAACAAATTTTCATCAAAATTGAATTTTTTTTTAGTTCTTAGAAAAGTTTTGGTTATATAGTTTTATAGATCGTTAAATTTTAGTATAATAAAGTGCATGCGTTCAACTGGTCTCTTGCTTGAACCGCTGTGGGACGTAAGGGCATATGAGCTGACTTTGATATGACCTGGCAAAGCTAACATAAATTTTCCAATGTGAGTCATATAGTTAGTTGCACAGCTTTTATGAGCAAACCAAAATTTCTCGCCACCATAATTTTGATATTTTTTTCCTAACTCATAAAATTTCAAATGAAACGAAGAAGTGTCAAAAGGAATGCTGTATGCAATTCCTTTTATCAGTTTTCTTCCATTCATTCATTGCATCACTAAATCGCCTTCATCGATGCATCTTTTTTTGTCAATAATAATGGCGATATAAAAAATAGTTTATGATTGTTCAGTAGCTTCATAGCAGTCATAAAACTGCAGGATATTTTCATCACTTTAAAGTGCGGCCAACGAAATCAACCGCTTCGTTTTCATGCGGCATTTCGATAACCTATTTTTATGAACTGTCTTTTGAGTATGTGTTTGGAATTCTCTTCACACTACATACAACAGGGTTGCATGCGCATATATTTTTATTTTTAGTTTTGTGGCATTTTAACCCTCATAATAGAGCCATTTCCATGCGTACGTTCATTGTCGTCGAATGTGCTGCCCATATTGGCCCATAAATTGCAAATTAAATGAGCCAAAACGAATCTGTGCAAAGCGGCTGCAATCCTAGCAAAGATTTCCACGACAAACTTCTTTACGTGCAACTTTGTTTTCAGCTATTCTGTTAATGATATATGCGCCATATGGTTTTGAGAAATACATGCCGTTTGAACATATGCTTAATTCGCGTGAATTTCCTACTAAATTTCGAGACATTGTGGGTGATCAATTATATTTTCAAGAAAAATATTGCAACTCTATAGAACTTACCAGCTAATAATCGCTGATACCAGCTACGAATGTATGCACTTACTTAATGTAGTGAGTATGTATGGTATACCGGTTTGAGGCACTTACCTGTAATTAGAACGAAAAAAAAAACATATTATAAATGTATCGGAAATCAAAAGTAGAGACGAGACATCATTTGTAAGGTTATAAATTTATATTAATTTTTTTTCTTGTTTTAAAAAAATATGTATGTAACAAATTGAATTTAAAAAAAGTTAAATAAAAAATAAATACATTTTTAAGTAAATAAAATTAAAAAAAATCTTTTTACACAATAAAAGCTAAAAAAATTAAAAGAAAATTTAACAAAAAAAATTACGTAAAAAAGAAAAAAATAAAATAAATTACTAAAAATTAAATGAAATTAAAAAGTATTATTTTAAAAATAATAACAACCACATAAATATGCATATGTTAAAATCTTTTGAGATGGGGATTTTTCAATAAAAAAAAATATATATTTTTTTTAACATAGCAGCACAATTTTTTTCCATAAATTATCACTTTTAAACCTAATTGAAGTACTTTAATACTGTTTCCTACTATCCCGGTCAAGCTAGATTTTCAAGGTTGCAGTAACTTTCATAAAGCTTGTACGAATGTTAGGAACGTCATTATAAATGAAATGTGAAAGGACCATATCGATCCCATATCTGTAAAGAAAAAATTATTCAAGGTCAAAGGTCACATAAATTGATTTTTACCATTTTCCAGCTAAACCGTAAGGTTTATCGTAAAAATAGGTTAGACAAAAGTGTAGATCATGCAATTATCTCTAAAAACCGTTATGCCACTTTTGTTCCTAAGAGTCACCATTTCTGAGATATAACGACTCGAACGACATCAATTTTGTAATAATTCATTTAACTTATAAAATACTTTGAATTGAAGTTAATTTTTTAACAAGTGGTAGGATAGAAAATTCAGTCAGTATGGCAGGTGCCACGGGCCCTTTTCCAAGAACCCACATTTTTTCCATGAGTAAAGTATTGATTTCATATATGTCCATACCAAGTTCCGGTATTCTACCACAAATACTTCCAGAGATATGCAGCATGAAAAATTCCGTTTGTGTGAGAGGTGCCACGCCCCTTTGTATAATCGAGATAAAAGCCATGCTATCTTTTAAGCTGGGCTAAATGACAGCAGTCTGCGAAATTTCATTAAGATCGGTTGAGTAGTTAAAGCGTATCTCTGGATCGGCATGCCTTAACCTAAATGATATACAAGTGCTTTCTCTCAAAATAAATTTTCACTACGAGCGGTGATTGAGAGAGCTTTCTTTCTAAGACTTTGGTGCTGGAATAACAAAAGTCTTTCGAATAATCTTTCCATCTGTCTTACGAAAGACTTTTTACTACTATCTTAGCCGGAATTACCCTGTAAATAAGTACTTCACAAGTGAAAAAATTTGAACGAATTTATTTATAGTGAAGCTGTAGATTTTCTAAAACTAAAATAAAACACCACGATATACATATATTTTTAATAGAATTTTCGGATCAAAGTCTATATTTATACAACGTATAGTCACATTCTCTTATAAAAACATGATGGTCCACACTTTTTGCTTTGAATTTTTAGTTCGTTTAGAATTTCTTTAACACAAGGTCTCTTGTGGCATTATTGAACCATCAATAATGCCTAATATCAATGCAACTACACCAATAACTGACACTTCATCCAGCGCTCTATTTAGACGTGGTTCCGCCCAGTTTTCCAATAGTTCGCTAACTTCCTCTTGATTGTCATTCAGCGTCATATCAATAAACTCTTCCATCCAATCGTTAAAAAGTTTCGTCTTCAGTGCGCTACCCAAAATACCAGTCAGCTTAGACTCCACATCGCCCAGTTCGACTGTTGCCTTGAATTTTCGCAATTTCAAGCTACCCGAGTTTTTTGGACGTACTATAAAACTGCCATAAATGCGTAAATTCTTCAAAGTCAAATGCAATATGCCATCGCCATAGATGTGAAATTTGGGACCATACATCCTAGTGGTTATGTTAGTCATATAATTGCCAGTGATCAAAATTTCAGGGAAACGAAAATCGTAACGCACTTTGTGCAGAATATTACTGAAGTGTAGTTCCTGTACGTCAAACTCGTCGAGACCGCTGATATTAAGATCCGTTACGTTGCCGTGTATTCTGTTGCGAAAGATACGAGTAGTTGTTAAAATTTTTGGGATACATTCTAAGTTAGTTATTTCAACTTCTCAACTCACTCTGTTTTATTAAGTACCACATTCACATCTTTATAGTCGGCATGCAGTGGTACCAGCGGTGGTATGCCTGCTGGTGGATAGCCGCAAGGCATTTGCAATCGCACAAATTCCATAAATTCGCGGAGATCATCTTCAAAGATGGTGCGCGTCTCAAATCCGATATTTTCGTTTGCGCTAACAACTTGCTGGAAAAGTGTGCTATGTAATAGCCGCAATGCGATTTCAAACTCGCCGGCTTCATCACTTTCCACTTGGCCTTGTGTGGTCTGCAGCTGCAGCAGCAGCAAAGCGCTGAAAACGAGCCAAAATCTATACATTTTTTGACGACAGCTGTTGGCATACTGATTTTAACTTTCGATTCCAATTCGGGAAGTCACCTGCGAACTTAACTAATGTACTAATGTACTTATATTTTTTACAATTCGCACACCTGTTAGCTAGCTAATCTATTGCTTGTTAATCGCAAGGCGATAAAATTTGGATTATGGGTATTTTGAGGCCGATATCGGTACAATAGCGCTATACATGCAGTCATAAACATAAATTATGAAATGGAAAAGCACATAAGCACGGAACATACAACTTTTGAGGCTATACTGCTAAAAAAGTGGAAGGGAAGTATATTTTCTTTTTTTAACTTTCAAATTGTGAGAGAAAAAATACACAGCCGTAGACAATATGCAACACTTCTTTACTCAACAATATTATAGTTCTCAATTTAAACCCAGTTTATTCTCAAAATTACCTCATTGCAGAAAAAGCTTTCTCGCAAGTTGAGAATGTAATTCGTTTTCCGTTGAAAACACTTTTCTTTACTCGTCAATGTTTCTAAGATTAAATTGAGGTGCGGAAAAAACTTTGTCAATATCTGAGTTCTCAGTTTAATCACAAGTCATTCTCGAACCGCAATTTTCATTGGGAAGATAAAGACCAAATCGTCTTACAAATAGAATACTAATGGTTCTGGTAGACGATGAGAATAGGAATTCACTCTCATAATCACCGTCTAATTACTAATGAGAGTACATATCCCTTCTCATGAGAATTACTCTCATCGTTTACCAGAACAATAAAACAAGAAAGTAATAAAAATTCACATAGGTTTCAAATCATCGTCAACGCACCATCGTTTATTAAGATTTCTTTAGCATACAGATTAAAATTCTTTAAACTCCTTAGCGGAGTTACAACTCTCCATTAAGCCCAGGGATCCTCGGGCGCTACACAACTCGTTTTAATTGGCTCATCTTCACTCTCTGCGCCATCACTATTCAAAATTTTATCCAAAATATCCCAGAAGTCATTACCCTTAAGTAAAGCGTTTACGCGTGGCACCACGGTGTTCTCAATACTTTCTGAAATCTGATTTTGATTGTCGTTGATGCCCGATATGACAGCATTTTCCAGACGACGATTGAGCAGCTCATTCAATTTGCTTTCGCCCAAGATACCAGTGATGTTGGAGTCGCAGCCCTCCAGCGCAATTTTGGTCTTCAACGATGTGATTCTTATGGATCCCCACAAGAGTGGTATTTTATATTTTAAAGTACCAGAAACACGCAAGTTTTTCAAGCTAAAGTCCAAGGAACCATCACCTTCATATTGCACCGAGACGCCGAGTTGGTTAAGAGCATCCAAAATGGTGTTGGTGGCGTACTGTGGTGCAGAGGCACGTATGTTACGGAAGGTGAAATCAAAAGTTATCTTCGACAGTACAATATTCAACTTGAATTTGTTGATTTTGAAGTCGTCTAAACCGTCAACGCGGAAGCGTGTGAGCTCCTCAGCGGTGCTGGGTAATGAAAATGAAAATGAAAATTAATTAAGTTATAGTAAAGCGCATTATTTCCAATTACTAAAGTACTCACTCCAAAATGCCATGCTCGTAATGTACGGAAACTTCGCTTTTCTTCAAGGGCGCTAGCGGTGGTATGCCGTATTGTGGGAAACCGCAAGGCATCTGTTTCTGTAGCCTACGAATAGCGCGACGAATCTGCCATGAGATAATGAAGGTGGGCGCAACTGTCGGTAGCAGAAAGGAAAGCGTTTATTTTAAGAAATCTTCACATACTTAACTACAGTTTTTAGCTAGCCAGCCGACTTACTCTCTTGGACACCATCTTCATTTTCGTAGATCACTTCGATTTCGCTATCGGCATCGATTGGCGATAGCTTGGATTCGGGGCGTTGTAGGGCGCCAGCAAAGGCGCAGGCGGCGAAAGCCACTACCAGCAAGTATTTCATTTTAAACGTTTTCTATCTAAAGTGTGGTTGATGCAATCCTTCAATTTGGCTAGTCAGCAACCGTTCACAACTGATTTCGACACAGGTGTCACCTTAACTTTTATATGTTTCGTACACGACACGACACACACATGCGAATTTTCGTACACTCGGTGCGGATTTATTATCAGATACGATTGATTAAGTGGCGTTGTGAGATTTATGGGCGATTTATAAAATATTGTTGAAATTTACAACTGAGTGAGGGCTGATGTTATGCACTGTTTTAAAAAGCTAACGAGATCAAGCGTTGTTAATTTTTGAAATTAGTATAGTTTGCAGGTGCTTATCTTAAAAGGTTTTCAACTCAATATCTTTCTATATGAAGATGAGCTTAGGTAAGATCATAGAATTTTTAGGAGCTACATAGATATGACAGCTCAACTTTACTAAGAAATTTAGGTTGTCACAATCTGAATAACAGTAATCTACGACTCTTTCTTGATAATATCTTGGAGTTACGAGATTTAGGAGGGAGATTGGCAACTTAATTGTTTCATTTATCGTATTGTAAAAAATAGCGGTATATCGCATTTTATTCGCTATTAAATGTAGTTTCTTACAACAACAAATATCAGTGTAATATGAAAATAACTTTAAAATGAATTAGAATCAAAATAAAATTATAGTTAAAAAACTAAAAACACGCTTTTATTACAAAAAGAACTAGAAAGTATAAAATAATTTATAGATATAGCGATTCCGTTTAAGAAGAATAGGAAGTTCCCTAACTTGATTTAATTTAACTTTTTAAATTAGCTAAAAATAGAATTAAAGTGATTGGCCCGTAGTCATCGTCAAAATAAAGTCCACGGATTTATTTCTTTTCACGCAAGTAATATATGTTCTAAATATGAACCAGATCAGACTATAAATGCGGGTTTTGCAAATATCTCGACTCCTGCGCCACCTAGCGGATTAAGTCATATTTTATATTGCATTGTCCTCGAGTACTGAGCTATGTTTGAAGTTTCAAGTCTGTAGCTCATCGGGAAGTTTGTTAAATATTGACTGCAAGGTTCTAGGACATACAAAGATACATACATACATACAAGTGAAGTTAAATAAAAGCTTGTAATAAAAATGTGTGTAATTTTTTTTTTAGGTTTGCGGAAATAGGCCCGCCACTTATTCATTTAACCTTTAATTTAAGCAGTTGTTTCTTGGTTCTAAACCAATATAAAATCGTCAATCAAATGCTTTACTTTAGACGCAACTATAAATTTTAATGCAACCTTTTAATATAAAGTGAGCTTCAAAATTAAAAGTTCCATGAGAAAAAGGACCTAAGTTACATACCGTTATGAGCATCTATCCTATTTTCAGCAAAATACTGACACCTGAGTGGTCGAAGAATGCCCTATCTCGGAATTCGGTTCAAAAACGCCCTATCTCAGCTGCCGATTCGAAAACGCCCTATCTTAGCACATTTTCAATAAATTTTCAGCTGAGATAGGGCACTCACAGTGGTCTTGAAGCAACCATAGCTATGACTAAAATGCCAACCAAAACGGCTTACATAACTGTCTTTGTACATAATCATAGATCAAAATTTCGTTGAAAATAAAATTCCATCTGCTCCTATTCTTAAAATATTATAAAATGTTGATCTAGAACTTTCCAAATCTAGTTATATAATCGCGAAGGTCTATGGTAATATAATTATAACACTTTCTTACGTTATAAGCATAAAATATTTTAACTTAGTTATTCAAGAGATAATATTACATAATTGCATATTTTAATAATTCTTATTGCATAAATTTTATAAATTTACAAAGTCAATATAAAATATTATTTTATATAAATTCATATGTGTTTTGATGAAAATTCAACGACAGTTTTTTTTTTAATTGATTATATATTTAGGGTCGTCAATCGAATTAACTTTATAATTGAGCCAAAATCTTAAAAATACGCCATGAATGGATTCTCCAGCTTGCTCCGACCACATTCCGAAGCCGTCGTTGCCTAAAAAATGCAGACTATGTTCCAAATGATTTAGAAGCACGTGAATTTTTAATGTTTCCGACATTTCTGTGCTTCGGAAGGCTTTAGCGAGTTTACTTACATGATTTTTTAATTCTGACCCAACTGACAAAGCAGTCAACCCATTGGTGGAGTTTTTTTCACTCAATACATTTAAGGTATGTGCTCTCCCTTGTATAACTTTTGGATGGCTGGTTGCCCGAGCAGTGAGCCAGATATAACAAGAGCATGAACTTGTTCTTGTTTCTTTTGTCGAATCTTCATAGTTAGGCATGTTTGGAAGAGGCCGCGTTGCATTTGGTATATCCATATCTCGGTCACAGAGAACCCTACGACATGTACCACAAATGCCTAATGGGAACTTCGAATTGGTCAATCTAAAATTTTCACTAACGTATTTTTTAATAAGACACACCAATTTTCCGGTTATATTAAATTCTGAAGGTTTTGACGATCCGAATTTAATCTTTCTCCCACAAGGCGCGCACACTTTAAATCTGTTCTCTTCGTGATTACACTTATGTTGCGGATGACTTATAGAAGACATGATGTGCAATCAGATAGCTTACACCAGAAATATTATCATCGAGAAAAATACTATCTGTTTTTCTTTTACACTAATATACAAAACGATAACTTTAGAATACTCTGTTGAACAAGAAATACTAACAATTGCAGTTAAATTTTTTCCAAATTTTCATTTGACAATATTTTAGGCATAGGAGCAGATATGATTTTAATTCCAACTGCATATTGGTGTATGGGTGCCTTCCAAAACAGGTATGCAAGCAGTTTTGGTTGGCATTTTAGTCATACCTATCATTGTTTCAAGACCACTGTGCACTCTTTAATCGAGTTCTGAAGTAGGAAGTTCTTGAAAAGTTTTCGAACTGGCTGCCGATTCCACTAAGGTGTCGATATATAAATCTTTTTATCCTAAGCCCAGATTTTGAGGATATATTTGGGATAAAGTTTTTTATACCCGAGCGCACTTGTGCACAAGGGTATTATAACTTTGTTCACATAACGGTTGTTTGTAACAGGC